GGTTCCAGTGCGGGCAAACTCGCCCGTCGGCTCCCTCGGCGGGGCGCACGCGCTCGCAGCCGCCGCCGGCTCTTCCCACCCCGCAGCCGGCTTGGAAACCGGGAATGACCGCCCTCCCGGCTCCGCCCAGCCCGCCGCCGTCCTGCCCTGGAGTCTGGGAGCGGAGCCGCCGAGGGTCCTTTCTTCTTCTCCTGCTAAGTTGAGACCGATGTGAGCACAGGAGCCACGTTCCTGCTCGTCGGACTCACTGCTGGAGAAAGTCTGTGGCCTGTGTCCCCTGGTTCTCAGGTACCCCGTGGGCCCCGAGAGCACGCTGGCAATGCGACCGCGGCCGAAGACCCGGAGGAACTCCGCGCAGGGCTGTGCAAGCTTACCGTGTAGATGCGGGGATTCAGTGTTGAGCCCTTTACGCGGGTCTTTAGGAGCAACGAGCCCTCCTTCAAGGTTTAAAATTAGTTACCTCTAATTCATTGAAGCCTTGCAGCAGCCTTGTGAGTTCGTTCTATTATTATTTCTTCACAGGAAGAACTAGAGCCACAAAGTTTTAAGTGTCTTGACCAGAGTTTCACAGCTGGTAATGAATGAGTCTGGCCACACACAGTAGTCTGAGCTTTAATTATGAGGAAGAGCTGGGACTTCATTATCTGCCATTCAGAAGTTGTAATTCTGTATAGCTGTCTGGTGGGGAAAATAGAGCATCTCAGGTAAACTGGGATGGGCAGAGGCAAGAATGTGCTGGAAAATAACTGCTTTTCCATTGATAAAAAGAAACCTTGCTTTTTCAGCCAGATTTTTGTCTGTCTTCACTGTCATAAAAATAGGTCAGGATGATGGGCTTCGTCCAACTTCAAGTGAACAGCAGTGTACAGAACATGAAGATCTTAGAATTATTTTTCTTAGCAACATTGCAGTTAATTTTACGATAGCAAATCTGTAAAACAGATCGCTTGATAAAACTGTTGTTTTGCCTTCTTTATTCCCTCAGTGTCATTCTTTAGAGCTCACATGAGACAAGCCCACTGTAGTTCTTTAGTAAAAGATGTTTGGGGCCTAAGTTGCTTATTTGAATTTTGCTTAACCTTTTAATCACTTGAAAGAAGCTCAGTGTGTTAAATGCTACTAGCTCCTAAAGCATTGGCAATTTGTGTTACCAGGTTAACTGGTGCTGCGACAGAGCAGAGCAAAGTTCTCTGCCGTCTCTGTTCATCTCCTTCGTGTCTGTGTGTCATTGATTAGGAAGGTTGTGTTCACACACAGGTTTTCTGTAACACTCAGGCCCGTACATGTTGGCCTCCAAAGCGGTACGGCAAGTGTGCCACTGGCAGATGCCAGCCCGCCCATGGCGTCTGCTTGGTGTGTGCTTTCCTCCTGACAAGAGTTATGCAATGACCAAAGAACACAAAACAGGTCAAGAGATGGTAGAACTTTATTAGAGTTTTACTGCTTATTGTCACTTGCAGATAGCTCTTGCCTTTGTTTTTGGTACAGGACTCATAAGAAGGATCACAGTGGTTAAGCTTTCAAACAAACGTTCCTTGTCATTTCTTTTTAAAGCTTCTGGGGCAGTTTTAGGAGGGTCCTGAAGAGATCTATTAGAACTAATTTGGAACAAATGATCTTTGTGATTTCTTGGATCTCTGCCTTTAAAAAGCACGGCTGAATTGGATATTAAGTTTGATACAATGTTCCTGTCTACTCTAACCTTTCATTTAAAATATGTTAAATACAGACTTATTTTTTCACAGATTTTAGTTTTATGTCAGTGACTAGCAATAGCTTTCTAAAAAAATCCTGTGATTTATTGTTTACTTTATATAGTTTGATTCTTACAGATTCGTGTGAGAAAGTGGGTATTTCACTTGTGGGCAATTGGATATCTCAGCTGAGGGCTCATTTTGAGCCCCTGCCTTGCAGGCTTGACATTGGATGTCAGCTATCTTCAATGTGTGACACTCCAGGCTCTGCACCACTGTCACCGTAGATAGCCTGGGCAGTGGTGACCTTAGAACGAGAGAAATGGCAGCAGGCACTGGGGCATGGCGGAGGCTGCCAGGGTGCAGGCCGAGGGTTCATGCTCTGAACTGGATTGACTTGACTCCAAGTTCATCTCAGTCCCCTTTCTTTACACGTATTCTCTTGGTATCTTGTAAGTCTTGTTCTGAAGCCTAGTGAAATAAGGGGATATAAAGGTGTTTCCTGCTTGCTGGACACATTTGCTTTAATACCTTCTTCCTGCTTCTTAATGATTCTTTCCTCCTTCCTCAATGATTTCACAGTCCCATTCTCTTGTCTCCACCTTTCCATTTTACAGGCAGGATAGGTTGTATTCTGCTTAAACACTGATGTCACTTGTCTGTAGACTATTAGAAATTGCTTATTTTAATTTTAATGAGATTGGGACAGTCCTTGCTTTTCCTCTTTTAATTTGGGGTATAGTTTATCCTGTCCCTTAAAGACATTGGTTTGAGAACACCCTTGATGGTGGAGTGGGTTTTTGTTAAGTAAGGCCCAGAGGATCAACTTACTTTTTCTACTCCCCCTGCATTCCCCACCCCCGGTGTCATTTCTGAAAGCTATGGGAAAGATGTGGTGGATGATGCTTTCATAGAATCCTTCCTGAGTATTCAAAAAGGATCGTGATAGTATGTGAATTTTCAGGATGTAATCCAGCATTACATAAAATTAGTTTTAATTTGATGTAGCTATTTTTTTTTGGGGGGGGGAGGGTCCCGTCGTGGGGCCTGAACTCTGGGCCTGGGCGCTGTCCCTCAGCTCTTCAGCTCAAGGCTAGCGTTCTACCACTTGAGCCACAGCGCCACTTCCGGCTTTTTTCTTTTTGTTTATGTGGTGCTGAGGAATTGAACCCAGGGCCTCATGCATGCAAAGCAAGCACTCTACCACTGAGCCACCTTCCCAGCCCTTGATGTAGCTATTTAAAACTTTGTTTTTGAAGAGTTTTTACTGACCTGGGAAGATACTCATGGGCCTGGGCTTTGAGTGTCTGTCCAAAAGGTTCTCAAGCCCTTTTTGGTATGACGCAGCCCAATGTGTTCAGTGCAGGGAGGAGAGGCAAGGTGGTGCTTGCCAGCCAGCTGTCTTGATTTGAGGGGCCCCGTGCCCCCTCCCCCGCAGATCTCCACCAGGTTGGTCTGTCCTGCCTCCCTGCCTGCCTCTCATCACCCAGGGCTGCCCCCTTCCACACCCGTGTGGGTAGGTCAGCACCTGCGGGCTGTCCCCTCTTGTACACTCCTCCTTAGGGTCACCTGCGGCTGTCCCCTCTTGCACGCTCCTCCCTTAGGGTCACCTACGGGCTGTCCCCTCTTGTACGCTCCTCCTTAGGGTCACCTGCGGTTGTCCCCTCTTGTACGCTCCTCCTTAGGGTCACCTGTGGCTGTCCCCTCTTGTACGTTCCTCCCTTAGGGTCACCTAGGACTGTCCCCTCTTGTATGCTCCTCCTTAGGGTCACCTAGGACTGTCCCCTCTTGTATGCTCCTCCCTTAGGGTCACCTGGGGCTGTCCCCTCTTGTATGCTCCTCCCTTAGGGTCACCTACGGGCTGTCCCCTCTTGTATGCTCCTCCCTTAGGGTCACCTGGGGCTGTCCCCTCCTCCCCTGGGGCTGCTCTCCTTCCACAGTTCTGCTTGTAGGGATGGACCTGGGACCTGAGCCATAGCATTAGGGTTCTTCCCTCCGGCTTTCCACCTTGCGGTTGGGAGAGAGAGGCTCGTGTTGGCAGCTGGGAGTCACCTGTGGAGGGCTGAGCAGAGGAGCTGCTGTTCCCTGAAGCTGTGGGCCCTCTCATAGTCTCAGAACTGAGGTGGTGCATCCTGGAGACACACACATGTAGAGTTATTATTTGATCAGGTTTCTTAACATTTTAACAAATACGTAGCATGTTCCCTTTTAAACAACTTTATGTGTTCTTACTTTGAATTGTTACTGTAAATTAATAACATTTCATTTGTCATCTGAAGAGGGTATTGCTACCGAATTTAAATGAACTTTAATTATTTTTTGTTATTGAACTACCTAAGCTAACTGTAGCAAGTTGATCTTTTCTATCTTCTTTTTTTGGTGTTACTGAGGTTTCAGTCAAAGCCTCCTGTTTGCCAGCTGTCACTTGAGAGGTGAGCAAAGCTGGTGTGGAGCGCCTGCTGCAGCCTCTGGTCACCGCTCAGGACCCAGGCTGAGGGCTCACCACACCATTGGTTGGTTCTCCAGCCACCTGACTTACCCAGCCCAGCTCAAGCACAGCAATGCTGTATGTTCTAGATTACTTGGATTTACAGGATTAAACTGAGATGAAAATTATATTTCCACAAAAGAAAATGCTTTAGAGGAATGCAAAATCTTCCCTCAATGTTTTGTAAATAATGATTCCCCCGTCCCCCAAACCTTACTTCATAGAGTAAAGAAGAGCCAGTGCTCAAGCCTTCTAGATCAGCTGCTATTTTTTCTCAGGGTAGCTTAAGATCAAGCAGGTACTAATCTTAGAATTTCTGTTTGTGGTGGTTTTACAACTCTAATTATGACTGTGAACAATAGTAAGAAATACTAGATGGGCATTGAAGCCTGCCTTTGATTATTTTCTCTATGGTTTTGGGAAGGTTATTTCATCTCTGTTTTCCTTTGAGACACAAAAACAGCAATAGTATGTACTTCCTGGGTTATTGCTGGATTAAATGAAGTAAAGCTGTTTATATAGTAAGTGCTCAGTCAGTACTAGCATGATCATTGAGTTCCCACGTTGTTGTTCTTTTTTGTTTAAAGGTGAAGCCCACCGTAATTAATTTTCTTAAAAGGAGATAATACATGGTTTGAAGCTCAAAACATTTTAAAAAGCTGCAATAATCTGCATTAAGAATCAAACGCTTTCTCTCTCTCTCTCTCTCTCTCTCTCTCTCTCTCTCTCATTTCTGCAGAGTCCATAGAAAGGAGAAAACAGGTTTTGGGGATCCAGCTTCTCTCAGCTTGTTCTTTTGTGTTACTTGCGACTTATTTTGCATATTAGCCTTACCACTGTTTTGGGTTCTTGCCATTGGAGGGTCATAAATCATGCTGTTAAGCTCAGAAATGTAATGCTACTAATGAATGACTTGCTTAGGTCAGTAGGGACAGCTGTTTTTTTTATTGGAAATTCTTTCTCATTTTTTATTTCAATTGACTTGTCTTTATAAGTTAGAGTAAATGCTCTTAGTTAAAAAATATTGTTCACTGTAGTTAAGTACGGTTTGGGATATCGATGTAGTTTGGGATTGATAAATGGAAGATGAGGAGAATGATGGTGTGTGTGTGTGACACCAATCAAGACACATTGAATTCAGAAATGGACATGTTACATTTTTTTGCAACTATTTAGAGATAATAAAAATAGTTCTATAGATAGTGCATTAGTCCTTTTATTTTAATTTTTTAATTTTTTTTTTTTGTTGGTCGTGGGGCCTGAAGCCTGGGCCTGGGCCCGGGCCCTGTCCTTCAGCTCTTCAGCTCAAGGCTAGTGCTCTACCACTTGAGCCACACTGCCACTTCCTGCTTTTTTTCTGCTTATGTGGTACTGAGGAATTGAACCCAGGGCCTCATGTATGCAAGGCAAGTACTCTACCGCTGAGCTACCTTCCCAGCCCATAGTCCTTTAATTTTTTAATTGTTATTATTCACGTGATAGGCAGAGATTTTTTTTAATAAAGAGATTTATTTGGTTTAAA